AACTAAATTAAATAAAGGATGAGAAGTAGTGACGAGCAATAAAGCATATAAAGTTCATATCATGAAATCTTACTGAAAATACAACAGGTTTTTAGAAAGCAGAGTTTGGATCAAATCATTTCGTTTAAACTCAGTTCCAGTAAAATCATTTGAAGATATTTTCAACAGTTCTCAAACAGAGGCTCAATGCAACAGTGAGCAAAAATGATGAAATCATAAACAGCCCCTTGGGCAAAACATCACTCATAGACAGCCCCTCGGGCAAACGTCACAGCCACTCGTATACAGCCCCTCGGGCATACCTCACCATCACTTATATACAGCCCCTCAGGCACTCGCACTCAGTAGGTACCTGTGCTTAGTAGGGGTGTGCATGCTCCGTAGGGGCTCCTTCAGCCCAAGCGCTATAACAAGCCTCCTCGTGGCATAAATCAATCAGGCCCTCGGCCTCGCTCAATCATGAATCAGTAAAACATGTTGCGGCGTGCAGCCCGATCCCATAAATATCCTCACAAATCAGGCCCTCAGCCTCACTCAGTCATAAACCACTCAAGCCACTCGGGCTCTTAGTTAAAACAGGGTACTCAGCCCAAAACAATATTTATATGCATCAAAACAGAGTAATAAAGATGGAGTTATGAAATCAATAAGTATAACTTAACTGAGTATAGATTTTCAATAAAAAACAGTGAGAGGATAGTTAGTAAAAGGTCCCTAAGGGTCCAAACAACTATGGCACAAGGTCCAAACATGGCATTCAGCCCAATTTACAGAAATTCTTTCTAAAACACATAAGTATCGTATAGTTTCAACCAAATACGCAACTTTATAGTTGCTATGGGACGGACCAAGGCACAATCCCCAACGATGCACGCCCACACACCCGTCACCTAGCATGTTCATCACCTCAAAATAGTAAAACGATACAAAATCCGAGGTTTCATACCCTCAGGACTAGAATTACAATCGTTATTTACCTCAAGCCGACCAAATCTCTACTCCACGAAGCTCTTTCCCCTGGACTCGACATCCAATCACTCCAAATCTATTCACAACCAGAATTATACCATCAATATGCGCTAATGGGATTAATTCCACAAGAAAAACTATCAAATTAGACACAAATCCTGAAATCCACTCAAACTCGGCCCCCGAGCCCACGTCTCAAAATCCGACAAAAGTGACAAAACTAGAAAGCCCTTTCACTCACGAGTCCATACATACGAAATTTATCAATGTTCGACTCCATTTGACCCCTCAAATCTCAAATCAAACTCTCCGAAATCCCAAGCCCTAACCCCTCATTTTCACCCCTAATATTAACTAATTACAAAATCAAACAACAGGATTTTACCATAAACACGAGTATTAGGGCTCAAGTAACATACCTGAACGAAAACCCCCTTGAATCCCTTTTCAAATCACTCCCAAATGCTCCAAAACCGAATAAAAATGGTGAATAATGCACTACAATTCGCGAAGTGTGCAATATATACCTTCTACCCAGGTTTTTTGCACCTGCGGCCTATTTCTCGCGCCTGCGGGACCGCACCTGCGGTCAAGGCGCCGCACCTGTGAACTCCACTTAACTCACCAGCTTCCGAACCTGCGCCCCGGGCCTCGCACCTGTGGGCTCGTAGGTGCGGCCAAGCCTGCGCACGTGCGCTCCATCCTCAGCATTCCAAATTCCGCATCTGCGATTCACCTTCCGCGCCTGCGACCCTCGAACCTGCGGTTCCCACTCCACAGGTGCGGAAACATCATAAGCAGCAGCTTCAGCTGCATTATTCCACTTCCCAACTCTCCGTTAACCATCCGAAATCATCTCGACCCCTTCGGTGCCTCAGCCAAACATGCCAACACATACCATAATATCATTCAAACTTAGTCGAACCTTCAAATCTCTCAAAGCAACATTAAGACACCAAATTACCCTCAGATTCAAGCCTAAGAGCTCCTAAACTTCCAAATTCCGTAAACAACGCCGAAACCTACCAAATCACCTCTGAATGACTTGAAATTTTGCACACACGTCACAAATGATACTACAAACCTACTCCAACTTCCGAAATTCCATTCCAACCCCAATATCAAAATTTCCACTGCCGACAAAAATCGCCAAAATTCCAACTTTCGCCAATTCATGCCTAATTCTACCACGGACCTCCAAATCACATTCCGGACGCGCTCCCAAGTCCAAAATAACCTAACGGATCTAAGCAAACCATAAAAATCCAATTCCAATATCGTTTACTCATAAGTCAACTTCCGGTTGACTTTCCAACTTAAACCTCTAAATAGGAGACTAAGTGTCTCATTCCACATCGAAACCACTCCGGACCCGAACCAACCAACACGATATGATAAATACAGCTGAGGAACACAAAAGGAAGCAGACATGGGGTAAACGGGGTCATAACTCATGGAACGACCGGCCTGGTCGTTACAAAATATGGCTTGAGTATAGATCCATCAACTATCCTACAACAGTGTAAAAGAAACTAAGCAAAGATAAAAAAAATTATAAAGGGATTTTTTCTTTCCTGTACAATATTTGAAACTTATTTATCAAAATTGTCCACGTTTTGTGTATTATCCGCCCTAAATAAGTTTTCCTTACAATTTAAATACAATCCATTATTAGAGCCTTAAATTGAGGGATTCAGTTACACCTTTTTCCTTTTTTCTCTCCTCTGCTCTTTCCCTATCCTCTAACCAACCAGTGATGACCGTAACTTTGGTACTAATTTCCATACCAGAATTCAACCAAATTGTTCCAATCAAACCCCACATTCTGATATCTAAACAACAAATTGTATCACTTCACTACCAGCCTCATTTTTTCATACCATGGGATGCTCCTGTTTACACAAGAAAATGACGCTATTGTGACAAATTTCATCCTCAAACCTATCACCCGAGAACAAGTTTCCTTCTACCTCCCGTATGGTCAAATTTAAGCATTCATTTTTCATCCACTCGCCAAGGAATATTACGTGATCCGGACAGTTGTCGAGAAAATAATAAACCATATCGATTGAAATTGCTTAGGCTTAGCTCATTGTTGTCAAATAAGTTGGATATCAGAACAGGCTGGAAAAAGCTTTATCGAGTACCCTGAATTTCCTCATCTCCTATAATAAAAAAGGTGTTATTTATTGGATGATGATGCACAGTTAAAATGTATATAAAATATAAAACCTGTACAATAATCTGGGTGGAATGTATAGGTAATTTTCTGTATTTACGTACTGTATTTCTATAAGAATCGCTACATTTGATGGAGGTGCGAGAAAGAGGAGAGAGAATTTTTTTGTGTAATGTGGTATGTCCATCTTTATGATACATCTACAACAATATACTATAAACTAAAAATAAATTTCATACAAGTAATTATATATTATACAATTTATTTACAATTTGTCTACAATTTTCATACATCATGCTTACCCAGGTAAATACAACTACAACAACTTAAATATAATTTTCATACAAATTTTATGCAATATGTCTTTTGTCTATATTTTGTATATGATTTGTATATATTTTGTAAGTGGTGTTTTCTTCTTCCTCTCTGAAATTCCAATCAAAACTTCCTCTCATAAAATAATTTTGATATATATAAACAACTTTATGTAGAAAGATAGTATTTATAACATAAATACAAATTTCATACAACGATTCATACATTATACAACTATTTTTCAATTTTCATACAAAACTCAAATAAAAAAAAGTATATAATTACAATAGAATACAACTTAAATACATATTTACATACATTTTTAATACAATTTCGTAAGTATATTGTATGTCATGTCTTTTTTCGAGTTTCAATCTGAAATTCAGCTAAAATCAAGTCTAATCTTCACCAAACATCCTCAAAATTGAGATATAAACTCCAAAGAATATTTTTAATTGCTTGCAACAACACCCAATCCAAACAAACAATAGTTTTTAAAAATCCAAATTCGAATTCAAAGCTTTTGAAGTTTTTTAATTGCTGTCAATGGTGGAGAATCAAATACCTTCAAAAATTATTGACTGACAATTTCAATTCGAACATCAATTGTGCAACATGAAAGGAAGTTGCTGGAAAAAAAAAGAGAGGAAAAAAAGCAGAGAAAATTGGAGGAAGAAAATTGGGGAAAGAACAGAGAAGGATAGAACAAGAGAGAGAGAGAGAGAGAGAGAGAGAGAGAGAGAGAGAGAGAGAGAGAGAGAGAGAGAGAGAGCGCCCGCAGGGTGAGATGAATAACTGAAGACCGTGCTGGCACTTAGCATGTTGACCAAAAGGGATGTACACGAGAACAACTTTAAGCCTCTTAGAGGGCAAATTTCCGGAAATAACCCCGAAGCAGGGATGGGAATTTCCAAAGCCCGAAGCAGGACGACGAAGAGCACCTTAACTCCCCCTTCTAAATAAGTAGAATTTAAGGAAAACAGCAAAAAACATCGAGAAACATACATATTCAAATGATAGGAGAGGTAACAAGGACAACAACAAAACCCAGTAAAATCTCAAAAGTAGGGTCTGGGAAGGGCAGTGCTTACACAGATCTTATCTCTACCTTATGAAGGTGTAGAGGCTGTGTCCAATACACCAAATTCAAATGATAGGAGGGGTCAAATGATTATCTATATTGATAGTGAATGATATTCATGAGCCAGATACAACATAAATATATGAACCAAGAAGTGGAATGAAGATGAAAGTACAAGCCAAACTATAAGCAAAATGTGTGGCGTACCATGCACCAACCAATATAACCAAGTTAAACTGGAAACAAAGTCCTCCGCACAACGATCGCAAGCTTTAAAATATTACAACCAAGTCGAAAATTATAATGATTTTGCCCTCTTCTCCCTCAAAGTTAGAACGGCAAGTTCAATACCACGAAGAAACTTAAAGCACTCATCGAGTGATTTCACAACTTTTTTGCTGTCTTCTTTTCAAATTTTGGCATATGCATGCACGCCCAATGCATTCAAGAAACTTCACGTCTTTTTTACTTTTTGTTCACTCTTGTTTGGAGCGGGTTTCTGATGAATCGCCATCTTGAGTTTTCCCTAACTGCTTTACGCTAGCTTTGGCCTCTGCCAGGAATTTAGGATCAGGTTCATGTTTATCTGAGGGTTCTCTCATTGCCAAGCATATATAAAATGCAATAACCACATTGACCGATATGACGGCAACAAATCCACTCATTAATGTCATAGAATGGGGAGACATATCAGTTACACCTGTTCCAGAAGGACAATGGTTAGTATAGAATCATAATCCCATAAATAACTGATTGCATTCACAGGTCCAACATCGATGGTAGAAGTCCACTGTAAAAGCCATCTAGACCCAAAACCATTTAGGAGATGAGTATTACATTAGAGAAACCTTAAAAGGTCTACATATTTAACCCATAAAAGCTACTGTACCATGCATTTTATTATATTTTTTTTATATATAAAAATATTATAATAAATAGAGCAGGAATCAGCAAGCATTGATTGGGTAATCAACCAGATACGTGTCCTAGAAGCTCAGCACAGCTACACATGGCTGCACCAGGAGGCGAACTGGTCACAAATCCGTCATAAGTACCTGCTATAGTTCATCATCTTCCACTCTATCCAAGTTCTGGTCAATTAATATTTTTGAGAAAAAAATTCTGGTGTGCAATTTAAGACTAAATAAGCAAGGGGCACATTTGAGAGTGCACTCCTACCAAACTTACACCCCCAGCCAACAAAATAAGAATTCATCTTTTCTCATTTGAGTATTTGAAAAAGGTAAAAATACAATTAAAATTTTCTTCACAACTTCCCTATTTAACCATGACCAACCTCTCACATTCTCGAGCAGAGCTCAACATCAAATAATCACATAACAATCAGCAGTAAAACATGACTACTACTGTCGCCCTTTCTAATATCTCATTAATTCAAATGATAGACCATGTTCTGAGGCCAAAACATTATTGTCCCTGAATCCCAGACAAAGCACGAAGATGGACTTTGCCTTCCGATCCCGAGAATATATTGACCAAGATGGGTGAAGCAATTATATTCAAGCAACAGACTCTGGGGAAGCACATAGTTGAGCAATTAGTTGGCAAAAATCTGCCACATTTTTCCTTATGGCCCACAAACTGAATGCAAACACAAACTAAATACCACTGAGATCAAATGTAAAAGCACAACAAAGAAATAAAGGCAAGGTTCTCAAGCATAACAATAAAAAGAAAGGAATAATCAAAGATTTTGAATAATGAATAAGAAAGTATTCTAGTTATCTAAGACCTATCAATACCTACTTTAGTATGGCCATCAACTGTCATGTGTAATCTTTTATAAAGCAAAATTTGTATCAAGAAAATTAGGGAAAGCTCACCAGGAATTAAGTTGTGGTTAAAGGCGTACAAAATTGCAACGGGAGCTGCCCACATAATCAAAGATGTGATAAAGAACTTATTCACGACTCCCGCCATAGTGCTACCAAGCTGTGAAATAAAACAGAATGGATGAAGTATAACTTGATAAAATCATTTATGGAAGGCCAGAAAAAGAAAATCAATTAAAAGCACCTGAATCATGAAAAAAAGAAGGAAGTTCATAAAGTACTTTTGCTTCGAATGGAACATAATATGTCATTACAGGCAGAGGCGAATCCAGGATTTAAATTCTATGGGTTTAACTTTTAAGGGTTTTAAATTCTACTATTTTTGCGATTTAATAAATTTTTACTCCGCGTCTAAAGTTATTGGTTCAATTGAACCCGTTGGTAACACACTACATCCGCCCCTGATTACAGGCTGAAATCTCATCCAGAAGATTTTTCTTTTCCTTCCTATTTTGACTTCTTTGAAGTTTCTTTCTGTTGCCACAGCTGATAAAAAGACATTCTTTTAGACATTCCTATGAAGAAAAACGAATTATTCCCGGTAGATACTTTACCAGATCTTTCTTCTTCTTCTTTTTCTTTCAAACCCAACTTGCCTAACCTTGATAGTAATCAAAATTATTTCTCTACAGTGAAATAAACAGATTGTGTGTTAACTATCATAATTCCAGGATATGGGCCTTGGATCTTAGATCAGAAAATAGGTTCCAACATGAGTTTATGTGAATTTCATCTCAAGAACAGAAAAACTCAATAAACCCAGATAATAAATGCAGAAATAATGCAAAAAGATAACTAAAAATTGAATTTTTATGATAAATTAGAGTTTAGTTGATAACCCAATTTGCAATTTGATGATTTGGCAGTAGCGGAATTGCGGGAACAACAGCGAGACAGTGAAAAGACAAAAAAGAGGGAACTTACAAGTTGAATCTAGAGAGAGAAACAGCTGCAAAAAGAGTTAGAGTAGCATAGCAATTCGGTTTGATCTGAGTAGAAGTGTCAGCTATCCAATCTGAAAGAATTTCCGATTATATATTAACTCTGTTTTTTTTTTAAGAGGAAGGAGCTCTGCTGTCTGGCTGTCTGGGCTTTCTTATGTGGCTTTACCTTTGGTCTTGCCCTGCACAAAAAGAAAGAATATATATAGTCCCTAAAAGAAGATTAAAAAAAAAAAAAAATTGCTTAACATAAATGGTAAGTAGTACATTAAGTAGGGCGTTTGGACATAAGAATTGTAAAAATTTCGGAAAAAGGTGA